AGGGTTAAAAAGAAGGGCCAGACTGAAGACGCAAAGGAAGGTTGTCCAAGATAAACCCACTGGGGAAGGTACCTAGGCGTGGGTGTGGGAGAGCCTCTGGCACCGAAGTCTTAGGGCAAGAATGGCCCAAGGATGGCATTTACTTGAAAGAAGGCTCCTTTGTTCAGATGTTTCACAGAAAAGCCAATCAGAGCCACCAGGTTTACTGGGCATCTCCCATGCCTCCTCCAGCAGCACAAACCAATGTATCACAGCATAGGGGAGCGGCCATTCATAGACTAACCATACTGTCACTACAGGAGCATAAAACTGTACAAAATCGATGGAAGCGGCAGAACAAAGGCCTATGGGACGCAAATACATTCACCAGTGCCCACTCATTTATACAAGAAAACCTTTGCTGTTTATGGCTGCGCTCCTAATAAATTAAAAATTCAGCTTGTGCCTATATGTAAGTCCTGGTTAAAATTACTTCGGCCTTAATTCTATGAAATTAATAGAATGTGGGAGGCTGTGTAAAAAAAAAGTGATTTTTGCCCGCTTCCAAATTAAAAATAGTTGAAATGACTTGTATCTTTTATTTTCGAAAGCCAGAGACAAAACGCTATTCCCAGCCAACAACGGAGGTGCCAAGTTTCTGTCAGCTCCTCGGTTATAATTTGGAGAGCGAGAATTCAATTATGTATCTTGAAGAGTGTAGTTTTCAGAGAGAGACATGATGTAAGGCCAGAGCAGGCAACTGTTACTCAGGCTTCAAGTAACGACACTCCCAGGCCCTCGATGTTCCAGGAGTCCTGAGACTTTCTAGTTCTAACTAGAGAACATTAAGATGCTTCTTCTAATTCTGGCATGGGGCCCCACGAGGAGAAACACGGGGTTTCATGACCATGACTCACCCAGGCCTCTCATGCACGTCAACCTTGACCTACGGTGAATGCCTCAGACCCAGAGCACACCACGCCCCTTTCAGGGTCTGGGATACAGAGGAAGGAAGAGAGCTGCATGGAAAAAAACTGCACCAGGTATCAGGTTTCTATTCCACATCAGTGGTCCTCAGTCTTGGTCACATGTTAGAATCATTGGAGGATTTTAAAGAGAATACCAATGATTAGCCCCTATTCTAGACCAATTAAATCATACTTTCTGAAAGTGGGGCTAGATCCTGGCATTAAAAAACAACTACATAGCCCTAGCTGGTTTGGCTCAGTGGATAGAGCGTTGGCCTGCGGACTGAAGGGTCTGATTCCGGTCAAGGGCACCTGCCCAGGTTGCGGGCTCCATCCTCAGTAGGGGGCATGCAGGAGGCAGCCGATCAATGATTCTCTCTCATCATTGATGTTTCTATCTCTCTCTCCCTCGCCCTTCCTTTCTGAAATCAATAAAAATATATTTTAAACAACAATATAAAAACTCCAGAGTTAGAACTGCTGCTGGAAGCTGGATCATGGGGAGAAGGCCCAGAAGAGCAGGAACCTGCTCTGAGGTCAGGTGAGCACCTCTCCCCTGCGCACCCAGGTCATGGGAGCCCTGGCTCCCCGCCCCGGCAGGCAGCGGCCTGCATGTGCCTTCAGGCTCCCAAGAAAGATCTATGCAAACACCCAGAGCTGCAGCATCCAAGACCTGCCTTCCAGGCCAAACCCTGTGCGAAGCTGACAAAATTATTTTTTCTCTTAGCCCAGAAAGCCAGGGGCAGGGGCTGCCCCGTTCTCTTCCCTGAATCAATTATGGTGCTGAGCCTGGACAGCTTCGGTCCCAGGGAGCAACATTAATCTTGCAGGACCGAGGAATGTTAAGTGTGGGCTCAGGCAGAAGAAGAGTTAGTTGATGATCCGGAGAAGGGATTTGATTTCACAATCACATACGCTGGGAAACGTCAAAATCAGGGCAGGGGTGGGAGGAGGATTTAGAGTCCGTTTAAAAGAGCATTCCACCCTTGTTCTTTAATCCCACTGGGTTCCCTTAAGTCATCTTTATGCTCAGCTTTAGTGGAAGGAGCAAGAAAGACTCCCCTTAATAACCAGGCAAGAAAGAATCGAGTGTTTTCCCTCTCTCTTTTGGAAACAAGTAGGTGTGTCCATGCTTGAATTTGTCACTGTGCTCCATTTCTGCAGACAGTGATGTGGCTGGCACCGGGACTCGCAAACTCCATGCCCACAAACAGCTGCACCCTCCGGTCCCAGCAGGTGCACGCGCAGAGCCCAGCTAAAATTCGTCGCAAGAACAATGGAGCCCTTATGACGCCGAGGGACAAGGCCCGATGTTCACCACGGCTGCACTACATTTGATGAGGGAAAGAGCTAGAAACTCAGCCTCAGTTCTCTGGGGTTGGGCCTTTTGGTCCCAGGATCAGAGCCACAGACACAGCCAGGCACAGCACCAGGGCGGCGGCAGCTATCAATGATAGGGCTCGACCCACCGAAGAGTTGGTGGAATTAAAACACACACACACACACACACGCACACAAAATCCCTCCAGAAAATGTATCCTCCTCCTTTTAACACATCTTCTCCTCCCGGGGGCTGCATTGCCACAGTCACCAAGTTTACATTCACATCCGAATATGCACACACAAAAAAATTACTGATGCATCTCACTCCCTGGTGACTTTGTAACAGGTTGCTAGGTAACAGTGCACACAAGTCAGGTTTCAGGACCTTCAGTAAGCCACCATAAAATCGCTGCATGGGCCTTTTGCATAAACAGTGTGCATTTGTTATCTGTTTTCTCCTGCCGATTGATCGGTCGGCAAATACTTCGACTGCCAAACCGTAAACAAGTCCCCGTCAATAGCTAGCTGAGAAAACAGATCACAACGTGAGGCTGTGGTGCACGTTTTTACCCCAGCCTACCAACTGGCTTCTCCGCTGGGGAGGCTCCTGTTTGCAATTCTGGTTCCCAGCAGCCCCAGGCCTTACGTTACGCTCCCTGAGACGGGGCTGGAGCTAGTGACAGCCGGATGTGGGGCACCCAGGGCTGAGCCACGCAGGAGTGGTCTATCTATCGTACACCAGGTATTTTACCCAATCCTCCTTTCATCCCTTCCTGCAGCTTTGAAAACGTCCCGGGGTGGTGGAGTAAAGGGAATAACCCCTTCCCGAGAGTTACTCACCCCCACTTAGTTTTCCCGTTAGTAAGGAGATGTCCGCCCCCCTATCTAAGCTAGGCTAAGTGAAGATGCCATTTGCATTCCGTTTTTTGCACTAGAAGAACCCAGAAAAGGAGCCCCTTGTGCTGTCCTGTCGGCGGGAGAGACCATCAAGGAAGGACCAAAGATGCTCCGGAGGGGAAAACTAAAGTGTCAGCAGCAAAAGGGACACTGGAAGCTGCACTCCCCTCTGCCCCTGCCCCGACCCCCCAGCCCTGTTTTCAAAAATGTTTCAGTATAAAACCCAAAGTCCCTAAAAGCTCGGTTTCCTCTAAATGAGCTGGAAGAGAAGGGGGGAGTAGAGAGCCCCCTGTCTGTCTGTGCCGCAGTCAGACGCACTGTAATCCCTGGGACTTGATCGTGCCCAGCATAGGACTGCCTCCCTCCCCTCACATGCACGCAGGTCTGGGTGCCCCACGGAACACTCTCTGCTCTCTTTTCCTCCGCAGCTCATTTCTGTGACGCCTCATTTCCATCCCCTACCTTTTCTCATTTCTTCCAACTAGTGTCACGCGCTCCTGAGGGGCAGAGATCTGGGGTGACGGGGACAATCCAAAAGACCTGACTGCGGTGTCCCTGAGCACGGGGTCTTCAGAGTGACGCTGAACCTCTAATGCACCTGGCAATGACATTTAGTGAAACGCGACTCACAGTCCATTTAAAGGAAGACGGTGACCAATTATTCTCCATTTAAAAGGCTATTGTCAATCTCCAAAGAGCTGAAATGGCATTTGGAAATCATCCTGGGGACTGCAAGACAGAACCAATGCTCAGCCGACCTTTCCCCACCCTCCACGTCGCCTTTAAAATTTAAAATCATACTTTAAAAAAATGGAATGAGTAGCAGTGCAATCCCAGGACACATTTTCTCATTCCAAAAGGGAGTCAGGAAAAATAGCCTTCCTCAACGTTGCACCCTGTTCTACTACACAACTTAAAGAAACTGAAAACAAAAACAACAAAAAAGTAAAAGAAATATCACATATAATTTGATGGTCAAAGTAGTATTAATCAATAAGGATAATTTTTTTTACAACTTCTACTCTATATTCTTTTCAAATGGCATTGAGGCAGTTGGAAAATAATGTTTAAAAAATTCTATTCCACTTATTTGAGGTACCTAGAGTAGTCAAATTGACAGAGACAGAAGGTGGAAGAGTGGTTATCAGGAGTTGGGGGCGTGAGGAATGGGGAGTTCTTGTTTAATGGGAAGATGGAAGTGTCTGGAGATGGATGGTGATGATGGTTATATAACAATGTGAATGTACTTCATGCCAAAGAACTGTACTTAAAAAGGGTCAATTTCATGTTGGGTATGTTTTACCATAATAAAATGTTTCCCGCTGGAAAAACATTTTACGATAATCTTTATCATTTAATCAAATTTTCAAAGTCTCTACGTCCTAATAGTCTCTGTACATATGTCCTTAAAAAATCGTTTAAATTAAAAACAAACAAAAAACTTGAATAATGTAAAATGAGACGTTCCACATAAGCACGGTAAAGAACCCAATGCAGAGACAGGTTACATAGAGGCCAAGGTCACACGAAGAACTGCCATCAACCGGGCTCACCATTGCCCCTTCCCCCACAACAAGAGCCCGTAAAGGAGTAAAACCAGAAGGACATCGGCAATCTCTGCTGCTTCCAGACCCCAAACCACAGCAATGCCTACACCCAAAGGACTGGGAAAAAGGCAAGAACATGTATGAAGGTGCTGACCATTAGAATTTAAAGGGACCTCAAAGTCACCTAGTCCTACCAGTTGATTTGACAGATGAGAGCACTGGTAGAGAAGGAGAGAGAGAGAGGGAGAGAGAGAGAGGGGGAATGAATACAACCCTATTCAAGTACCTGACAGCTTCATGAGAAAATCAGACGCCATCTTAACAGAGATGTCCTGGCTGAACAATGCTGACGCACTGTTGGCCACATACTCGGAGGGGTCTTTCAGCTTTGTGTGGTTGGCCGGCCTGTCGGCAGCATTCAGGGGAAAGGAGGCTGGCAGGCCGTTATCTTCCTTGGGCTCCTCCTTCACCAGCAAAGGCGAGACGCCAGCCCCACCCTGGCTAGTCCTCTCTGGAGTGCTGGCCGGCATCATGGTCCCCACTAGCTCTGTCCCTCCTGCTTCCCTGTGCTGCCCCAGGCAGGCACTGTCACTGAGGTGGGGCGATCCCTTGACATCTGGGTCTGGGATCTCCTCCTTCACCTTGGCTTCTGTCCTCAGGAAGTGCTGGTGGCAGCGCATGTGGAGCTTCAGGCTGAAGTGGCGCGAGGAAGTGAAAGGGCACAGCTGGCACTGAAAGGTTTCTCCCCGGTCCTGGTGCTGATGAACCTGGCGGAGAAGCAAGAACAGTGAGATGTCCACCGAGTGCTTACGGGAACTGCCTGGGGGTGCACACTCATCATCCACTAGTCTCCACCCCGACAAAGGGCTGGCCCCGGAGAATAAATAACCAGAGGGGAGCATCTCATGACTGCGCTCCGGGTGAGGAGGTCGCCCCGAAACATAAAGTGGATCCATGTAGGGGAAGAGTTTGCTAATAGAGCCAGGCTCACGACGGAGGTGCTGTCAGCCTGCAGAGGCCGTCCGGGGTAAAATCCTCTTAAGGGTCTAGTCATCCGATCTCACTCGACGTCTTCAGAGAAAATATTATAAACCCAGCAGAATGCACACTTACCTAATTACTAGCTGTGGGTCAAAAGAGGTCACCTGTCAGGTAATTCCTCTCTTAATAATAACGCTTTGCGTGTTCCCAATGACTGTCGCCCAGAGAATTAGTGATGTTTTGCAAAAATAATTTCAATTTTTGAAAATGCTTTTCTAGGTAATTAAGAATGTGGAAAATAATGGCTCCAAGGTATTCCCATTTCGTAGACAGTGAAATTGAGACCTGGGATTGAGTGGCTTGAATAAAATTACAAGTGAAGAAAGTCAAGTGGGGTGCGGGGAGAACCAGGGCCTGGTCCCCACCAAGGATTCTCAGTGAGACAAAGCCAGTGTTTCCCACTGTGGTGACCCTGTGCTCAGATCCTGAGGTTTGCAGTGAAAGAGTGCCCAGCCGGAGTGGCTCAGTGGTTGAGCGTAGACCTATGAACCAGGAGGTCATGGTTTGATTCCTGGTCAGGGCACATGTCTAGGTTGTGGGCTTGATCCCCAGGAGGGGGGGTGCAGGTGGCAGCCAATCAATGATTCTCTCTCATCATTGATGTTTCTCTCTCTCTCTCCCTCTCCCTTCTTCTCTGAAATCAATCCTATCCTATATAATAAAACACTAATATGCAAATCAACTGACTGGCAGAATGACCAGTTGCTATGATGCGCACTGACCACCAGGGGGGCAGATGCTCAACACAGGAGCTTCCCCCTAGTGGTCAGTGTGCTCCCACAGGGGGAGCACCACTCAGCCAGAAGCTGGGCTCATGGCTGGCGAATGCAGTGGGTGGTAAGGAGAGAGGGGTCCCCCCAGACTGTGAGAGGGCACAGGCCGGGCTGAGGGGACCCCCCCCCCAGTGCATGAATTTCATGCACTGGGCCTCTAGTAAAAATATATTTTAAAAAGAAAAAGAATGCAGACTTTGAAATCCAGTTTGTCTTGCTTGCACATATACACCTGTAAAAACTGAGAGGAGATTTTTTTCCTTTCTGTCACTCCCAAATTTAGAGCTTGAAAAAGCAAGGAAATCATTGCATTGGCCCGAGCCAGGCTCCGTCCGAGCTGGCCGGTGCTCACAAGCTTGTTAACTCCCCCTTTCATCTCTGCCAATGCCTCAGCGCTGACCTGCTGCACCCTGCTATTTCAGGACTGGCCCTCCCTGCGTCAAAACTGCCAATTGTGTAGATTTGGGCCAAATGATTTGGGGAGTTGTGTGCTCCGGACAAATAAGTCAGGGGTTGGAATTCAAAGCCAAAACCAGACTGACACCCCATCCGTCAGAGGTGACCTGAGTGGGATTTGAACCCAGGTCTCAAGAAGGTTAAAAGCCAGTTCGTTAATCCACTGCACCACCTGGCCCCTCGGCGGAGGCTGCCTTTCCAAGAAAGCAAGTTTTACTACAGCTGTTTATGCATTCTGAATGCAATCCAAAAGTATTATTCACCAGCCAAAACATACTTTTAAATAATGTTAAGTGACCAACAAAAGCAAAGAAATTAAACGTTAATGGTGAGATCCTGTCGCTACAGCACCCCACTGTGGCTTTTTGAAAAAAACAACAGAAGAGATTCTGGGTCCCCCAAAGCGTGACTTTCTCAACAGAAATCGCCATATTAACTTAAATTCAGTGGCAGCAAAGCCTTGCTCCCGAAAGCCTTTCCCTACCAGGTCTGGGGGTGGGGGCGCTGGGTTGGGACACCACACTGTCACACCATCAGTGAACATCATCACCCCTCTCTGTTCTTTTTTAACAAAGGGATTTCATTCTGGAGCTGATGGGTTCATTTGTTTTCTCACTGAATCGTAATATTTCCCTGCCACCTCTCCACTCAATTCACGCAGAAGCAGGCACCTGGGGTCAGGTCACCGCCCCAGGAGACCCGGGCAGGTGCTGCCCACAGCCTGCCCTGCAACCAGGTGGTAAAGGTCACCAGGCAGGAAGCTCGGGCGGGGGGGGGGGGGGGGGGGGGGGATTCCCGAGAATTCCATTTCAGAAGTGTCCTTACATCTACTGACCCAGAGAGGACAGGAGCAAATCCAAGTATAGAAGCTCCCGAAGCAGCTTCTGGAAGAAGGAAAAGCACCGAGAGTGAGCACAGTTCTGGAGCCGAAGGGGAGCCCGGCTGGAACAGAGTCTGCGTGCAAGTGTTTCACCAGGCAGACGGCTTTCCCACCAGGTCCTGCTGCATTTAGTTGTGGCGAAAATTTGGTGACCGTTTAAGGAAAACCAGTGGATGTGGACCTGACTTTCGCACTTACAATTTTATTTGAACTACACCTTCCCAAAGGGGCTGGGGACCACATTTGACCTTGGAGAGGTTTTAGCTCCAACCTCTCCAGACCAAAAAGTGCTTTCTGTTACCATTTTTATTCTCTTTAGCTTAACACGGACTTCAAAATCCCTCTTACTCCGCTCAGGAGAGAACACACTTGTCTGAAGCGTGTCATTCTGTCCAGGCCACATGGCGGCGTCCCTACTGACTGGTCTTTTTGCCCGAAAAGCACATCCCCACCCTAAGGGGTGGGACGTGAAGGTGCTGTTTTATCATTAGGTCCATCTCCTCAGTCGGATGAATAGGAGGACACCTTGGGAAACATCTACTCCACCGCCCTTGGGGGACCTGGCCAGCCGGCAAAGGGCTTACCCACGCGTCCCAGTTCCTTAGACGGCAGACCCGAGACCAGCAGAACTCGGTGCCCTGACTCTCGTCCACTCTCTTGCCATTCCTTCACCCATGTTCTTTATCTTAGCAGTCCTCCTCACCTTTTTCTGTCCAATTTCAGCTTATGAATTTCCTACCTAATCCCTGTATGCTCAGTCATCCAGGAAAGTTGTAAAAGACTTAATGGCAATCTAAGATAACCCCGAGGAAGCTGGAGGCATTTACATCTCCTTCCGCCGCTGCTCATAAAAACACTTGCACGGTATACTACAGAGGAAAGGCAGGCTTAGAAAAACATACAGTGTCCAGCACCAGAACATGCTAACACTACATGTGTTGAACAAATTAAGTGGAAACCCATTTTTTTCTTAAATAAATCCTTATAATGAATATAGAAAGAGATACATTAGAATGACACTAAGGGTTATTTCTGTGTGTGATGAGATTATGGGTCAATATTATATGTTTTTCATTTATTGGTTTTTCTACATTCTCAACACTAAAGATATATCATAGAAAGAGAAAAGCAATGAAATTTCTTTTAGGGAAATGTTTTAGTCCATGTCGCTAATTTATTTCTAAATGTAAATGTTAATATATATTCCGATGGCTTTTGGGCAATAATTACTATATTAGCTACATTTACCTATTGTTTCTCCACCTTGGGCTCTGTGTTAAGTGGCTTATGTCCACTATCTCATTTAACTATTATAACAACTCCATGAGACAGACCGCATGGTTGTCATCTCCATGACCAGAAATTGAACCTTGAGAGGTTAAATGATTTGCTCAGAGTCGCACAGCTACCAAAAGCCGTGGAACTGAGATTCTAACTAAGGTTCTTATGACCACACAGTTTGAGATCTTAATCTATAGGCTATGCTGCCCCCACTTCTTCAGCAGAAATTGTTTTAGAAAATCTATCCATCTTTGCAATCTCTGGTCAAGGCAGCTGAGACTATCTCCTCCTAAAACCATAGCCATCGTGTTTCCTTGTAGACTCTTATTTTCAAAATGTAGCCGAATTTAAGTACGTCCAATGAAAATAAAACCATGAATTGATTGAAGAATTAAAAAAAAGAGAGAGAGAGAGAGGCCCATGAGTGAGGTGTAGAGCAGAGAAAAGAAACAGTATACCGTTTGATAAAATTAAACTTGTATGAGCCCTTCTCACACTTCCCTTATCAAAAGCTCAGTCGGAGCTCAACAGGTTAGGACACAATGAGTGTGAATAAAGTGGTAATTTCGCACACAGCTTTATTGTACTGGTTATTGATTTGTTCTGAAAGCCTTCTAAGACCCCACGACCCGCAAAGCCCTCACCGCTCTCATCGGTAACACTGTCATGGCCGACTGTCTGTATCATCAAGGCACCCAACTCATCTCTCTGGAGTTTCGGGGTCAGTAGTTCCTGCTCTTGAAAACCCAGCTTTTTTTCCACGGGTTTATAAATAGGTTGTTTTAAGTGACCCTGAGCTGAAACCAAGCTTACAAGGTGTCAGGCGAGATGCAAGTTTTCTGCTCACTGAAGCTTTAAATTTGCCAGACTGACAAAGCGTAGGGCACAGTCACGAAAACAAATTTTAGTTTTAAAGACGTTTCTTTTGAAGTCTCATCCCCCTAACGAAATCCACTTTGCAGGTGTAAAATATGAGATTTTACTTTGGGAAGAGGTGATGGAGGATGAGGAGGGTTAAAGTAAAAACTAAGCAGGCTCACTAAAATTCAACCAACCAGAACGCCTGGTTAAATGGATTCTGAAGATGAAGGGCATGCTACTCCCAGGAGAAAAAAAGGCAAATGATAGAAAACAAATTGCACCATGGATTTAATTTTTTAAAATCTTCTAAGCTATTGCCTAAAGTCAATAGAGGTTCCATCTGATCATACTTTTTCAGAGCTACACACTTAACAGTGATTACTGACAAGATTTAAAATAAAGCAAATTCTTAATTATGTACATACACTATACTTCTTATGGCAGGAAAGTAAGAACTTTATAAACGTCAACAGCCAAACCATATTGAAAATATCAATAAAAATGACTTGTTATTATTAAGGTGTTAGATGATAGTTGTTGAAATTACATAACTTTTAAAGAACATTTCTGTGTCAGATACTTTACTAATATTATTTCCTTAAATACTAATAACAGCTCTTCTTAACATTCTTGTTCCCATTTAACAGATGAGAAAATTAAGTCTAAGGGCTCATTTGTTCAAGGCCACTTAGCTAGTAAATTGCACAATAAGATTTAAATATGGGTCTATCAAATTCAAAAGCACATGCTCTTTTGATCTCATGAGTTACTTCCTTGAATTTCAGACAAAACCCTTAGTATTAATGAAGTTTACTAAGTTTTAGACGACTAAGTTTTCCCCCATCTCACTTGAGTGACACGTAGACTCTACTTAATGTCTATTACAAGTGCAAGCCAAACTGTTTTCAATAGGACACTGAAAACAAAACCCTTGCATGTTGGGTAAGTGTGTTCTTGGGAATTATGACACCTTAAACCCTGTTGGCCTCAGGGAGGACTCAGTCTTGTCAGGAATGGCCCTGAGCCCTCCACAGGGCTAGCGTTGAAGCCCAGCTGTCTGTTAGTGTCCTCCCACCTCCTATGTCAGAGGTGACACGCGAACTCATTTTTTTGGTTGATTTTTCTTTGTTAAATGGCATTTAAATATATAAAATAAATATCAAAAATATAAATCTTTGTTTTACTATGGTTGCAAATATCAAAAAATTTCTATATGTGAGCACCAGAGTTAAGTTAGGGTTTTTCAAAATGCTGACACGCCGAGCTCAAAAGGTTCGCCATCACTGTCCTATAAGGTGTTTCTGGGTGTTCCTCTGGGTTTGTAAGCAGAAGAGGACAGTCTCGCCAGGAAGGGGAGCAGGTCCAAGCACCCTCTCTTTGGGCACAGGTCCAGTAGCCCTTCCTGTACTCTTTCTGCCCCTGTAAGCACCCCAGAAATGCATCACCATGCAAGGCCAGGTTAGGCTGCTGCTCCCCAAAGAGGGATGGCCCTCCACCACATATATTATTTGGATATTGAAGCTTCTCTCTGTTCCTGGTTGTAAACTGGAAATGAAGACCTTCACAAGAAGACTCTTTGCAAGGTGCTTCATTCCCATGGCATTCTACCTTGTAACCTTGAACACTATCATCCACCAAAGGCCCCTCTCATGCTTGATGGTGCCTGCCTCATCGGAAGGGCTGTCGGCGGCTGGCTTACCTTCATGTGGGATTTGAGATTGTCCTTGCGAGCACACCGGAATGGGCAGAGCGGGCACTGATGACTTTTTAAACCTGTGTGAATCACCATGTGCCGCTTCCAGTAGCTCTTCCTTTTTATAACCAAACCACATATTGGACACTGGAAAGGCTTTCCGCTTTCCTCTTCCGAGGCTTGGAAGAAAGAGAAAGAAAGGAAAATTAAGGCAAACGAAAAGGCACACTGCATCCAGCACTAATTCACATGCATTGCTATATAAAGAACACTAAAAATGATTTGATTTTTTTTTTCCTGGCAATCTCAAGACTTTATCCAGGAGGTTTTATTGCTGCTTCTCTTTGGGTACAAGCCCACGTTCATCTCATGACTTCCATCAGGGTTCCATTTTTCAAAATCCAATTGCCCTGCCTTGTGAAAGTGTAACTTCCGAAGGCCATCCCACACTTAGGAAGACATCTGCAAAGGGACGTCGCTAGGCCTGTCCTTGCTCAGCCCAGAGTAGCCTCAATTCAGGGACTTTGTTTCCTGAAGGAAGCTGCCAGACTCAAGTCCATCTACGGATTCCTGAACTTGGAAAATGGCAAGAAATAAAGACAAATCAAACGGGACAGAGAAGAATGTATGTGGCACAGCGGAAACCTAATGGCCACCGTCAACCTCACACACCGACTCCGTGGAGACAGATGTTAGGATCCCTACTGCTGACTCATCTAGTTATGGCCTGAGCAGATGCTGCTGCCAATTTAGCCATCGGGGGGTCTTAAGGTCGGGGTTTTACCCTCTTATTTCTGCCCCTCTGGCTGCCACTAACAAGATGCACTGCCTTCCTCTGCACTGCCACAGGGCCTCACTGCCCACTTTGGGAAAAGCTACCAACCAGGCAGTCACACCTGCTTCAATTTTTCAGAAAAACAAACAAACCAACTGGTTCCTCCCAGGAAAGCTAAGCTCACTCTCTCCTCCAACATCTCCACAGGGAAGGGCTCTGCTGGGACACTGAGTTGCTACCTGTCTGGTCTATCAATTGCTATTGGTCAGTGCCACACCAGCCTTGGCAATTAGGAAATATAGACCATCAAAACAGATAGAGTTCAGGCCTCAAACTTTCCTTTCTTAATCATGAAGGATGAGAAAGGTTACCTAAATTGCAAAAGGTTACCTAAATTGTAATACTCTCATAAGATCTGTGAAGCTATATTTTAAAAATGGGATATGTCTATAGAAGCTAATATAGAAACATGCCCAAGATATTAAAGAGTTAGTGGATAAAGCAAAACATAAAACTATGTCTAGGGTGTTTCTATTTTTGTTTTCTAGAAAATGGGAATCAATTGCTGTTTAAACCATGAGGTGAAAGGTTGACAGGGAACTTTATAGAGGGTGGATCAAGCTGACAACACATACAACCACTGATTAATCTTAACATCACTAAAAAGGAAACAGACATTGTGCGCCTTCTGATAAGCCATCTATGAAATATTCTTACAAAAATTTAATCAGGCCTCTATCTAATAGCAGTTCACTGGAAATACAGGTGATTAAAACAACCGCATGTTAAACACACAAAGGGGACGGACTCAGCCAAACTCACAGTGTGGGAAAGCCTGAAGGACAAATGACCCAGTCTCTTCAACAAGGAAGTGACATTTTAAAAGAGCAGGGGTTATGGATGAAAAGACACTTAACACTTATAAAAAATGCAAGGTGTGAAGCTTATTTGGATCCTGGTTATAGAATGATAAAATAACACTTTTGAGATAAATTGAGGAAATACTGATTATAGCCTGGGTGTTCCATAATATCATGTAGCAATTATTGATCCTGTTAGATGTGATTATAGTCACTATGGCTATTTTTTAAAGTCCTTATCTGTTGGAAATACACATGGAAATATTTACAAGCAAATGGATATGATGTCTATGATTTGCTTTAAAATACTTGAGCAAAAAAAGAGGGTGAGTAGGAAGAATGGGTTGGATAAATGAAACAAACAAAAAAAGGACATCCTTTCATTTGTATGGAAATTGTCCGGAAGCATACCCAAGAAACCATTAAACAGTTAAACTTTGAAAGACTGTGGATTAAGAGACAGGGGGTCAGGGAGGGAAGCTTTCACTTTCATTTTATATTCCTCTATACTATTTGAATTTGTTTAATGCACATGTTATTTTTATCATTTTAAAGGGAAATATTCCCAAGTGTGAGCTTTAAAATAATTTTATATTTTTCACTTAGTCAACTGAGTCCCCACCTGCAAAGACCCACTTAAAATAGATGGAACCAGAAAGGTTCTGGAATAAAGCTAGATCATTCCAAAAGGCTGTTTCACTAATACACTAATCATAGGCCATCTTGCTTAGCTTAACCACGTAACTTGAAAAAGACTCCTCTATCTAAAAATACACCCTTCAAGCCTGGAAATTCTACTTGTGACATGTTCCATCGCGAGTATTTCCTCTTCTGACTGTGGGACGGGCAGGAATGAGGGTTTCCTTCCACTCCAGGAAAAGCACGCTTCTTGAGGCCCATAAACACTCCTTTTTATTAACCCACCAGGGCTCTCCTGCTGTCTGTTTCTGTTGACTGCTTCTGCTGACCTGGAGTCCTACCCCTAATTGGGCCTCTCATTTTCTGTCCTTCACTGTCATTTCCTTCACTCTGGTATCTTGCTGGCAAAAGCCACGTTGGAGAGGGAAGACTGAATCAGATTATTGTCATAAACAGGGGGAGAAGGAACCAATAATGATGTGTATTTGGGTTATACGAGGACATCAAAGTAGTCAGAAAGAGGCACACAAACAGGCGGCCACCAATCCCACCTTCAGTAAGTACTTCCCACGGCATAAACCCTCAACTGCCTAATTTTACAGAATTGTCTGGGGACTCTGAGAGAGGAGAGAAAAACTGAGATGTCCTCCACTGGCCTGAGATTTCATGGCACATCATAGGAAGGCAATAAAAAGGCATGAAGTGACAAAAGGAACATAGCTGGTTACCCTGGACACCTTGCCTTGCCTGACGTGACCACCCCCAACCCCCATCCTCATCACCTACTCTATTTTTCAAATGCAGCTCAGAGTACATGACATAAACCCTGCATATTAATATTTCATGTAAATCTATTTTATTTTGGAGCTATGCTTCCTAAGTTTTAATGAATACCAAAACACATATGAATCATGTACAAATTAGGGTATCCTTGGACTGACGAGAAAAAAAAATTAGAACAGTCCTAATGAAAAGAAACTAACCCCAAGTCATGTGGTCAAACAGCTATGCTACTACAACTGTTTGAAATTTTTAACTGGTCATGGCAAGAAAGGAAGAAAACAATCCAAATGGTAAAAGTAACTAGAAAACAATGATCCATCTTCAAAGTTGGCCAGTAATCTCCCCTGATAAGATCTGCATTTTTATTTATTCAAGAAAAAGGATTTCATGGTTCAGTAGGATGTCCTGCATGTGCATATGATGGGAACTACTTGGAGAAGGGAGGAAGTAAGGATGTATTCTACTTCGTGTGCCAAACTATTTTCAAGGAGCTGACAGCTGTTTCATCCAAATGTACAGCCTAAGGAAATGTGACCACTTCCTCAGAATAAGCCACACATTCTTGAGGCAATCGGATTGAAATGTTCAGGAATTTACCTCGTTTACAACTGTCTGATAAACAATCCCCCACCCCCACCCCCCAATATATCACTAGCTAATTATTATCACAGCAAACAAAACTAAATCCCATCTAATCGACCCAGTGGAATGGATAGCTCTAATTTGTTATTTTGAAGAAAACATGCTCTCTTTATAGGCAATAATATTATTGGAATAAAGGAGATAATAAATGTGTGTGAAATGCCCGTCACGCAGTAAATGGAAGCTATTGGGAGCAGCTGTAATAGTAATAGTAGTGACAATAAACTCTGGTCATGCCCTCCAAAGCAGAAAACTCACCATTAGAGCAGATGTAAATTTAACCAACTGGCATCACATAATAAATACATAGCTCAGGGCCTGGCCCGACATGGTAGTTTATCACTGGAGCCCAGAGGAAATAAAAGAGCAAGGGTCCATTGTGCTGCTCAGGTAGGGTCTGGCTCAGCCCAGACAGAATTCTGAGGGCCAAATTCAGCTTGGCAGGAAACCAGAGAGATGGAGAAGACATGAGGAGAGAAGAAGAGGCTGGAGCTGAAAGCTAGCTGGGGCAAGGCTGGAAGTCCTCATCTTTGTGTCTCCAGCACCCAAAACAGTGCTGGGACAACATACAATTCAGAAACTGTGTGTCAGGATGTAATAAAATTAAGTGGAAAGGGCTGGTCAAGAATATGGAAAAGAGAAATGAGCACTGGACATGAAAGTAAAAGATACGGGAAGCTGCCACTAAGTCCCAATGCAAGTGGGGTTAGCCCAAGAGTGCATGCCTTTCACACAGGAGCCAATACACCTCCTGAATGGATGGTGTATAAAGAGGGGCCTGGATCTTTGTGTACTTACACCTCAACCTATTTCCAAAATGACCTGGAGCAGCTTATATTAAAAATGCACAGTGTGATGACATCCTATATAATAAAAAGCCTATGGTCGTCACGCTGTCACACGTAATGACAGATCACCAGGAGGCTGCATGTGAGGGTGGGTGGGGCTGCGTGTGCAGCAGGGCACATGAGGGGGGTGGGGACTTGATGCTGCGTTCCCACGGGTGCCAGCAGGGACTGGACCAGGAGGTGCATCAGGGGAGTCCCGCGGTGCCGGCCACGGGAGGGACTCAAAGGAGTCCCACGCAGCCCCGGCCCCATGAGGCAGGACTCCGGGACTCGGGGGAGTCTCACATGGCGCTGGCGGGGGCTTGACGCTGCGAGAGAAAGGGCAAATAGTGATATTAAAATATTTCTTTTAATTAATTCCCTTTCAGTGTGCACGAATTTGTGCACCGGGCCACTAGTTATTTATAAAGTACAATAATATATGTTTAAACTATCTGCAATGGACCAGATCTGCCCAAGACAGAGATGATCTGGTAGGGGGTTTGATCGTAAATTTTAAGAAGGAATATATTTAATTAAAATTTTTGTTTAATTGTTTTTGTTTTATTTTTTTAGTTGATGGAATTAAAAATAAACAGAAAGTAAAACAAAGGAATTTTTCAACAGGAAGGAGTCCTGACGATAATTCCCAACCAGCTCGGTTTAGAGATGAAGAAACTGAAGTGACTATAGTCGGGGGTGGGAAGGGAGAGAACTAGAGCCAATCTTTTCACTTCCGTTTGGTGCTCTACCCTATTGTCTATTTGTCTATCTATAAATGCACAAAGCAACACCACCAAAACTTCATTGGGCTAAAAAGAAAAAAAAGTCATAGTAACTGACTTGCTTTAATTTAAAGAAGGTATTTTTTTAAAAAAATAAATGTAATTATTTTGTAGGTTTTGAAATTAAACTTTCTCTTGTTAGATCCTCTATAACAATTTGCAGAAAATCAAGGTACTTTGCAAGTGGGTAGTTTTTGCATACAAACCTTACCACACTCATAGAAGGAGGACAAGACGGCAGGTGATCCCAGGTGTGCATAATGCAGGCATCATCACCATCTCCACTCTGGGCCTCCAACCCACTAGTGCACACCTGTTATGAGGACCCATCCCCCTTCCTAATAGCAATATACACACGGATTTAATATCTTTTAATAGAATTTCATGGGCATGCCTCTCAAATGCTATTTTGGGGAACAAAAACTATGTTAGCAGTGGATACCACTGTGTTTATCTGCTGCTATGGACATTGATATTATCAATGCATATTTTAATAACTGGTAAGTATTCGATAAAACTCAGAAGTCAGATATCTAGAGGCAGTCTCCATTTGAGTCACTGGGGAAATATAATTGAGATCAGCGACAAATAGATCTGAATCTTGATAAAAGTGAATTTTCTAGGCAAGTTCCTGCCTGCAAGAATTCCCAGATTATAGCCAGAAAACCATGGACCTGAGAGGAGTATCAGAAGAGGTTCCCTCACTGTTAGGGGTCTCCCTGCTTTTGCAACAATGTTAATAACATCATGTAAATATGACAGAAAACAGCAGCCAAACACCCCCTGTCTACTGACCCAAGAAATAGTCTGAGCCTTCAGATGTATGAGACCAGCTTGCTTCTACGCATGTTTAGATTTTAGGCAGAAAATTAAGATGTTTTTGGAGACCCTGTCTCTGAAAAGTCTCCTTGCTATTTAACTAGGAGCCTGGCATCCTGAGAACCTTGTTGGTCTTCCACAAAAACTTTGTCCTTAAAATAAAAACCATTTTTTTTTCCTGAGCTGCAACAGAACAGCAGCTTCAAAGAGAATGGAGTCAATGTGTGACATTTATCTTTAGAGCAAACGGACATAATCTTCCTTCTATCGTGTCCCCTTTCAGAGGAGCGGTGTAGCATGTGCCGGGGCACAAGGGCACATGAAAGAAACCTCCTCCTCAAGTGTCACGTCTGTCTTGCAGGGGGAACGGCTGCTGAGGAGTGGATTCTTTAAGGAATTAAATACACCATGACCTGGCAACAACCGAATCCCATTCAAAGAAGAGGAATAAGGCCAGACCTAAAAGACGCTTATTTTTTTTCATGGTTTGGACTTCCCTTGACCTGAAGAAGGGCAAAGAAATGCCTGAGTCTAAATTACTCAATACACTGGCTTTTCTAGCACATACCTCTTTGTAACTCTAGAATTAACTTGATATGCCCCTTTTGCAACATTTTGAGAAATAGCTTGAAAATGGGAGCCCTGCTTGAAGTCAGGATGGTGTATAGTTTATTTTTGTGGACTTGTTTTGTTTACTTAAGTTATTAAGCAACAGAATCAGAATTTTCTTCTTGCTGTGAGAAATCAATCCCACCTATCTCTTTTGCATTAAGCTAAGATTTCTTTCTAAGGTAAAGGGGAAAAAAATAGAATATGAAATGTTTAGAAACATCTCACCACATCCCCACAAATGCTTTTTAGGTAAAGCCAAGTGGACATCTGAATCCAGCCCCCAGGTTGCCCTGAAACCAGCAGTATAGTGTCTAAAGGGGAGGGGCGGGGGCAGGTAGCAAAGACACACTTTCCCTTCCACTCCCCCGATTAAAACATCAGCGGTCCAAGTAACACTAACCAAATCATCTCTCCACGATATAGAGATAAGCAACAAAGTTAGATGTTTTAGCAACGCCTTCTCAGCCCATAATCCGGTTAGGATGCTGGGAAGGGATGGCGTTCGCTTCCAATGAAACGTGCACAGAGATTTAGGATGCGTCCATATGGATGCACGGGGCATTTTTCGAATGACCATTTCCAGAGCCCTAGTGCTTTCCTCTGCAGTGATCTTTCCTCTCACGTGAGTTTGACAAAAAGAATGATTTTTTAATACAATGACTCCATCAGTGGAGCTGCTTCACCACGCCTTGGATTGTGAACAGAAGCATGAAAACCAGGCAACAATCAACAGCCGAGCCCCAGTCTGAGCAGTTCCTTCCTCTCCTCCTTCCATGTGAACATTTTAAACATTCATTGATTAAAATATTAAGTGTTTCAACAATAGAATAAATTCAGTAAGAAGAAAAGAAAATAAAAGATTTCTTATAGATCTCCATATTTAATCCTGCTGAGAGAAGCTCATTCAGATGCTGGCATGAACTCAGTGCATTTAAACCCATGGGGAGCTCATGGCCTCTTCCTTATCTTTACATGCATCCAGTCGCTGGAATGAAAAAAAACACATACCTCACAACTATTGCTGATTATTCCCAAGACACTATAAAGTGACAAAGCCACTCGTTTTTCATGAGGCACAGTTTTGTGTTACCTTTTTCCAATGCTTCAGTCAAATAAAGTTTATTATTCATTTTATATAAGCTTTTCCAAGTAACTAATGTCCAGGAGAATTTACAGTGTGAGCACCATTAATATATGTATTTGATCACCAGATGCAGAGAATACTTATAAAATTACATATTACGTAGAGCCATGCCTCTCTTTCTGCTTCTACCCTGAATAAAATTTCCATAAACCAGGAGTGATTTATTCCATGGCAAGATTGCCCAGGTCCCTCTGCTCTTCTCCTTGTTTCCAAATAGTAGCCATTTCTCTCTTTATTTCACCAGATGGCAGGTGAGAAGTGAGGAAGAAATGATGCTCAGAACCGATAAACACTTCAGGATTTTATTGACACTTTGGAAACTCTGGCGTGAACCATTTGGATGGCTTAGAGTCATAAAAGTTCCAGAGACCCATTTTCCTCGCTGTAGTCTGCTGTTTACACAAGTTTTAAAGTAATTATAATTAGTGCGTATAGCTCACTCAGCAATTTAAATGGAAATCTGTCATAAATGCGTCAGACTGATGTTTGCTGCGATCGTTCAGTCAATTATTTGCCATTCTCAACACTCTTCATCAATGCGGCTGCAAATAATCAAAGCCAGCTAGACACACAACGGCAGTGTTTACACTGCCGAGGACACACACAGCCTGCCTGCTTCCTGTTCTTGTCGGGCAGGATATCCTCGGGAGACGTCGGAAACTCCATACGTCCATCTCCAGGACCATATACTTACCATGCGCACAACTGAACAACAAACCAGCCCAAGAAACGATGTTTCCACTGTGAGAACGCAAGTGACTAAGTGTCGCCCTCAGATGAATAACTCCCTCTACATGACAGCAACTTCTCCTTTGGAAAAGCTGTCCCCACGAGAAACGCTCATGATTCAGATTTTCCACATGCACATTCCTTCAGAATCTGATTGGGTTGAAATAACATACAGCACTTGCAGGAAATGCTTTGATTATGTCTGAGCGACAATATGCTTCAGAGTTTGTGTAGGACAAGAAATTATACCAGGGCAGGACCGGTGAAAAGCGCTTAAATCCCACAAAAAGGTAATAAGAATGCTAACATGAAAGTATACAGTGTGATAAATTAGGGCAGAGGAGTTACTGATTGTACAAAAGCCCATTTGTGGTGGAGGCAGCGGGAAGGGTGGGCTCTCCCTCGTCCAAGGTTTCAAAAGCAGCCCCCCCTCCCATGTTCAGCGATGCCACGCAATTCATGACAAAGATGCTTTGATCTCCCCCATTAAATATATCTCGTATGGACCCAGCCTGAACTGGGTAATGAAAAAAAAATCACTCCTATGAAAGGGAGGAGAGTACTGTATCTCTCTAAGATTATTCATTACCTTTCAAAAATGGAGCCATTTGTGAAGTCTTTGTGTCACACATGCAGGAAAACCACTACCCTGCTTAGTTCAAGTACTTTGTTGTGAGCCTGCTTTTTTATTCCCGCCGCAGATCAGATGCGAAACCCAACCGAATAGGGCAAAAATAAAATAAAATAAAATAAAAATGTTTTTAAATGAAATAAGACTTAGCAATTTATAATCAAAAAGACGAACACAGTGATTGAAGTAAAAGATTCCATACCTGAGTTGGAGGGTTTAGAAACTCTTCCCTTGGGAACTGGGAGTAACAATAATTCCAAGGATTGTGGCGGTGGCGGTGGTGGTGGCGGCGGCTGCGGTGGCGGGGTCACCTTTTCTTGCATCTTCTCTGAAGGCGGTGGCGGTAGGGGGTCCTCGGGCACCAGGGACGACTTCTCGGCCAGAAGACTCCCCGCAGCCCTGGCTGCGACCTCCTTGAGCAGGGCGGCCGAGGAGGTCATGGAAGCCAGGGAGAGGAAGGAGCTGGCCGGAGGGGGGTGCTCCTGGCCAGGAGTCAAGCTTCTCTCGCTGACTTTCTTGGACAAGGCTGCCAGGGTGGAACTGGCAGACTGGGAGCTGAAAGGGGAGGAAAAGGACTCAAATCGCATGGTCTCCTCCGTCCTGGCGAGAGACTTGTCCTGCAGGACGGCGTTGGCTGCAGCTTTCAGTTTGAGGATGGCCGAGTCGGGGGACAAGCCGCAGGTGGTGGTTGAGTTTGGCAACCACTTACCTTGATTCCATATAAAACGGTTACTTGGAGTGTATTGGTCATTCTGTTCCTGCTTCTCGGCCAACTTCCTGGCAAGGACACTGAGCTGCTGGGCGTGGTGGGACGGTGGGGAAAAGGAGAGGTTGGGGGCCACGTTCACCGGGGACTCCACCCTGCCATTGGCCGTGGCTGTGGCGTCGAGTTTGAGGGACCCGGCCTCCAGCAGCCGCCTCAAGTTGCTGCTCAAAGGTTTCGTGGAGCCCGGGGAGTCGTCTTCACACAAAGAGGACAGGCCGGGGGAGAGGTGGTCCTGGCCCTGCAGTGAGTCTCGCAGGACGTCCCCGTCGAGCGCCACCAGCTCCAACGTGTGGCTGCTGGGAGTGGCACTTCCCAAGGAGGTGTCGGGGGACGTGGACTGCTCCTGGATCCGGTCCTCCAGGGACAACTTATAGTTCTCCTGGACTTCGCCATAGGATGCTTCGGACGGAGTCTCGGAGGAGTTTCCATACCAGGGCTCTCCTTCACTGAGTTCGCCCTCCGCCTCGTCCTGCCTACTAACATCTGGGGGAATTAAGAAGATCGGGTTAACTCCCCAAGTGAGCAACAGGCAGGTCTGAAGACATTCAAACGGCCCCGCCGACATGCTTCCTCTTCCCTTCCACCCAGAACCACATGAAAGACCGCAGCGACCTGAACTAGAACGGCAGGTGCTGAGTCAGACCGTCTTGGCATAAGAGAGAAGGGGAAATGCTAAACAGGCAGAGGTAAAAACACACCCACTTACGACACGCGTTAACCTCTCTAAAAATTATGCCAGATCCGTGGAGAGGGGAAAGGAGGAAAGAGGGAAATGGATCTGGTGCAGAAGTAACTGCTATTGTCAATGACACGGGGGAAAGGGAAGGAGCGTGTCCCCTTGTGAGGAAACCAGCATGATATCTTTAGTCTCGAGTCAGAGTTGGAGAGGCAGCTGGCAGAGTGGGGAAACGTTGGCTGCGAGACAGACAGTGCGAAGCCGCTTCCCCACTTCCCAACTCCGCCACCTCAGGCCAGGCACTTAGCTGGGTTGATATAAGATGCAATTCATTTTTTTAAAGTTTATTAAAAATGTATGCATTTCAACAACTTCACCCAGTTCTTATGAAGCTTGAATCAAAATAAACATGTGACCATGTTTTGAAAACAGTCGAGTGCTATATGAAAATCAAATCTCTCTGGCAAACACTATTCACATTACTGATTCCTTAAAACGACCATCTCTGCCACATTACCCATGCTCCTTGGTTGAGAGTCCTTGATTCCACTCACCGACATGTTGCCACCTTATCCCAGGCAGAAATTAGTAATCTGGCCCCTCACTCCACTAAGAGTCCCCTTTAATTATTTTCTATCCATTAATTTATCTACCCACTGCCCCCACTCTCAGTGTCCCCACCCACCCCTGCCCCAAGCACCAGTCAGTTGGGACTCCTTGACATTTTAAGAGCACTCAGGTGGTCTGTCACTTTTCTACTTTTGCTCAAAATATTCCATCTGGAATGTCTTTCCCCAGAAAACCTGAATGTACGTTCACCGGGGACTCCACCCTGCCATTGGCCGTGGCTGTGGCGTCGAGTTTGAGGGACCCGGCCTCCAGCAGCCGCCTCAAGTTGCTGCTCAAAGGTTTCGTGGAGCCCGGGGAGTCGTCTTCACACAAAGAGGACAGGCCGGGGGAGAGGTGGTCCTGGCCCTGCAGTGAGTCTCGCAGGACGTCCCCGTCGAGCGCCACCAGCTCCAACGTGTGGCTGCTGGGAGTGGCACTTCCCAAGGAGGTGTCGGGGGACGTGGACTGCTCCTGGATCCGGTCCTCCAGGGACAACTTATAGTTCTCCTGGACTTCGCCATAGGATGCTTCGGACGGAGTCTCGGAGGAGTTTCCATACCAGGGCTCTCCTTCACTGAGTTCGCCCTCCGCCTCGTCCTGCCTACTAACATCTGGGGGAATTAAGAAGATCGGGTTAACTCCCCAAGTGAGCAACAGGCAGGTCTGAAGACATTCAAACGGCCCCGCCGACATGCTTCCTCTTCCCTTCCACCCAGAACCACATGAAAGACCGCAGCGACCTGAACTAGAACGGCAGGTGCTGAGTCAGACCGTCTTGGCATAAGAGAGAAGGGGAAATGCTAAACAGGCAGAGGTAAAAACACACCCACTTACGACACGCGTTAACCTCTCTAAAAATTATGCCAGATCCGTGGAGAGGGGAAAGGAGGAAAGAGGGAAATGGATCTGGTGCAGAAGTAACTGCTATTGTCAATGACACGGGGGAAAGGGAAGGAGCGTGTCCCCTTGTGAGGAAACCAGCATGATATCTTTAGTCTCGAGTCAGAGTTGGAGAGGCAGCTGGCAGAGTGGGGAAACGTTGGCTGCGAGACAGACAGTGCGAAGCCGCTTCCCCACTTCCCAACTCCGCCACCTCAGGCCAGGCACTTAGCTGGGTTGATATAAGATGCAATTCATTTTTTTAAAGGTTATTAAAAATGTATGCATTTCAACAACTTCACCCAGTTCTTATGAAGCTTGAATCAAAATAAACATGTGACCATGTTTTGAAAACAGTCGAGTGCTATATGAAAATCAAATCTCTCTGGCAAACACTATTCACATTACTGATTTCTTAAAACGACCATCTCTGCCACATTACCCATGCTCCTTGGTTGAGAGTCCTTGATTCCACTCACCCACATGTTGCCACTTTATCCCAGGCAGAGATTAGTAATCTGGCCCCTCACTCCACTAAGAGTCCCCTTTAATTATTTTCTATCCATTAATTTATCTACCCACTGCCCCCACTCTCAGTGTCCCCACCCACCCCTGCCCCAAGCACCAGTCAGTTGGGACTCCTTGACATTTTAAGAGCACTCAGGTGGTCTGTCACTTTTCTACTTTTGCTCAAAATATTCCTTCTATCTGGAATGTCTTTCCCCAGAAAACCTGAATGTCCAATTCTGCTCATCCTTCAATACTCAGCTCAAAGGCTTCTTCCTCATGATTCTCCCCAGAACTCTCAGTCAGAATCAATCTCTCCTTCTCATTCATTCACTCACGTATTCAACAAATAGTTATGGACTACCTGCTGCATGCCAGGCATTGTTCTCGATTGTTCTAGATTGAACAACATTAAGCAAAACAAAGATCCTGCCTTCTTGGATCTTACATTTCAGTGGAAGGAGACAGCTGTTAAACAAAATTAATAAATTAGTAAGTCAGAGAGTAAGCCAGAGGGTGACAAGTGCTTTGACAAAGATACAGAGCAGGCCAAGGAGGGTGGTGGGTCATGGACAAGAGGTGTGTTGCAATTTTAAATAGGGGGTCAGGGTGAGGCTTCACTGAGGTGGCGACCTCGGAGCAAAGACTGGGAAGAAGTGAGGAGTGGTTCATGCAGATCTCTGGGAGGGTCCCATGCAGAGGGCGTCACTGTGAAGGCCCTCCTGTGGGAAGATGCTTGGCATGCCCATGGAACAGCAAGCACTACCGTGTGAGTAGGGTGGGGTGAGTGAGATTCAGAGCAGTGGGGGAAGAAGTCAGAGAAAGAGAAAGAGAGAATTGTGAAGGAGGCTGTGCAGATCAGTGGAACTCTGTCGACTACTGAAAAGGTCGTGGGCACCTGGTGAAATTAGGAACCACTGGAGGGTTTGGGGCAGGGAGTCAAATGATGGGACTTACATTTTCAAAGGATTGTTTTGGCTGCCATGTGGAAATTCAGGCACGAGGGTGGGGGCAGGGAGACCAGCTCAAGGTGGTACAGGAGGTGAGAAGCAGCTGATTCTGTGCATAGTTTGAATGCAGGGTCAACATTCCTGTGCTTTGTTTATTTTGCTTTTATATCACTCTTCATTATCTGTCTGCTATTGGTTTATCTTCTGAAAGGTAAGTAGTGGCGTTCCTTGAAGGCAGGGATTTATTATCTACATATCCCACCCTGTGCCCAACACAGCCCCTGGTTCCTAGCACAGTTCAATGAATGTGTAGGGATTGAGCCAGAACCCCCCACTATGCCAAGTTTTGCTATATAACATGTTGTCTTTTCTGAATAGAAATAGCTAGAACTGGGAATGCATGAACTACAAGCTAATACATTGATCTTCCCATGCTATCTGGAGAAGCAATGTCACAAATGACAAATTCTCTTTCACTAAAGTTTTACAACTCTTTCCTGAGAGTCTTTATTAAGTTATCAAGAAAACGTAAAATATCAAATGAAATTTGCTGGGGAAAAGCAGATAAGATTGAATTTTCTCTTTTAAAAACAGCCTGGTTCCTTGTGATTTGCCACATTTCCTTCTTCCCACTGGATTTCAGCATTTTTCCATCGGTCCTGAAACCAGCGGGACCCTGAATAACTCAGCTCCCCAGTGGAGATGCCTTTTACCGAACACCAAGCAGCCCACCTCCATTTCAACAACTGGGCCAATTTTCTGTTCCTCTGGCAAACCACCTTTCTTGATTTCAGATCAAACATCTCATCCTTCAGGAGAATCGATGGGACTATGATTTAAAAGTCACTACAGTGAGAATTAGCTGAATATCTCCTTGAAGGCTCTCTTCTTCAATCTTTATCAAAATTTGCTAAATGAACTAACATAGGAAAACAGAGAGATTCAAAAGTAAATACTGTTAGATTACATTTTTGTCCAACTAGAGTAGCTCCGGATAGTCAAGACTGGTCTGGAACTGTAAGAGCAGGGTTTTAAAAACCACAAAGAATGACAGTCATATGTACAGACCTGTGATTTTACTGAGACTATTAAATATTACCAAAGTTACCCAGTTGGATCAAAGATACACAGCTATCGAGTGCTACTGCCCAAACCAAGAACCCAAATCTCTCAACACTGGGCTCAGCGTTCTCTACCAGATGCACTCTGAATAGCAAATTCTCGTGCGCTCTTTCTGTGTCGCGCAGCTCCACTTGTCCATCCTTCCACCCTCTTGAAACAGAAATCAGCAAGAGAAATCTCTTAGATAAGGACAGCGTTCACTCTTTATCTTGAGATAAATCATTAAGAGGTAAATGCCCATTATTCCTAGACCCTTATCTCTCCATCCCCTCTCTGACTCTTCCTTGGTTGCAGTTGGTCAAATATTGATTCAAATGCCTAGAGCAGGGGTGGGCAACCCCTGGTACGCGTGCCAAACATGGCACACCAGTAACTTTTGCTGGCACGCGAAACCCTCTCTTATAATCTTCCATTTACAATTTTTTTCTTAATATTGACTTTTTTATTTTTCAGATAAATTCAGTGTAGGTGCATCTTAGATAAATAAATAATTTTACATAACA